GATTACACCCAACTCCTGAAGAATCTCAAGATAAGACAGCTAAAAATACCTCCTCCTGAAAACAGGATGCCTTTGCAGACAACAAACGTCATTTCAGAGGTAGGTGATGGGATTTCCTCCAAACACTGCAACTCAGATTTCTTCTAAAATGTTATCAAAGGATTCTTATTCAAACCAACTGCCATGACAAGTTGTGAATTCAGAGCCTGAACAGTTTCAGGGCAAATTTGTGTCGACTGCAGCTTGTCTCTCCTGTAAAGATCTTGTGAAACAGATGTCAGGGTGCTGTTTGATTCTGCATATTTACATGTGTGAAAAAAACATAAGGCTATGAGGGGAAATGCTTTGGATATTAATTTCTGTTTACAGTAGCCAATAGTGGTTAATGTGCAGCACACCCTCAGCGCCAGATTTGACTAGCAGCTCAACATGCGAAATCACGACAACAGCCTGCTCTCTGTTGTCTAGGACTTGCCACCACCTTCGCCTACGCCTGCGGATTTAACTGTTGTATTGGACAGATTAGGTCCCTGTGGGGAGCTACAAACTTTATAATTGGATGGAAAATTAGTAATCGATATTTTACGCAAATACAGTATTTAAAATAATGTAGTACAATGGGAGCACAAAACAGTCAACTGTAATTAAAGTACTCCTTTACCATAGAAAGTGACACCTGCTCTTATTTTTGACAATCTACATGCAAATTATACAGCAAATGAAACTATTCAACAGAAATTTAACCTCACAGCTCAAGAAGCAACGTGGTCAATCATTTGTGTTCCTATGCTCACCAAGGTGTCTTTCTGAACTTTGAACGCTTCAGCTGGAAACATCTAGAAGTTATCTATTTGAAACCAGGCAGGCATAAAAACTAAAATGTCCTGTTATTAAGTAGCGAGGCTGAACTTGCAAAATTCTGATCCAACAGTGAACAAATATGAAACAACTCCCAGTTGTTATGCTGCAGATCCATTGGAAAAACACTGATCAGAGGCACAAAGGAATTACTGACAGTTTTAGAACAGTAAAGGCTTGGTTGACACCAGTAGCTCATCTTGACCCCAAAGACCGACTTAAAAGAGAAAGAAGAGGGATGAGACTGGTATCAATCACAACTCTAAACGGTTATCGCATTGGTGAGAAGGTAACAGAAGGAGGTGGTTGGTCACAGCTGATGAGTGAAGACAAACCTATCAGACCCGTGGTACCAGGAAAAAGAAAGTTCTGTGCACTGACACAGCAGAGAAACTCAGGGGACAAAAGACACCATCACAACACTCTCACTACTCGGGTATCAAACACAGCCTTCAGCAAGAGACTGATAAATGATTCAAGTAAAATGATACAGAGAATGGTATTCTGCTCTATTTCTGAAAGAAACACTGTGTGCAGCAGACTCTTCTATTTGAGACGATAATGTTCAAGTGCATAGCAAAATGTTCATGAGGGTTCACTTCAGTTATTTTTCTTGAGGTGATGTTTAAACTCAAAATTTGAGTCAGACTGATACTGATTTTTGGGGGGTCAATAAAATTACTGATAGTAGGATGTGAGCAATGTCCAATACTGATATATCAGCCATATAAAATGTGATTGAGGTTTGATATTTTACAGTTTGACGATGAACTTATAATAAATACGTCTATATAAAAGAAAATACAAACACAGCCAAATATATAGGACTTAAATTTAAAAAATAAACTAAATGAAACTTAAACTAAACTTAAAGTTAATTCATCTCAATCACACAAACTCTCACACTGACACAAGAAAACTTTGCAATATTGGTAAAACACTAAATTTGATCTTCACACGGTAAACAGGATGCAGGTGTTACCACTGTGGTGGCAGCTGCACAAAACACATTTTTTAGACTTTATAATCTTCAGCCCTGAAGAAGAACCAATATCTAAAACATTACAAACTTTATGGCGACAGGATTTGCTGCAGAACTGTTGGATTGATTTCTGAGTTCGACAACTATGAAGAGAGTTCGTTGAGGTGAGAGGAACTAAGGTCCTGAATGATTTTTTTTCCAGGTCTGTAAGTGAGATAAAAGATTTAACCTTGGCTATGTTTCTTAGCATCCTTGGATAATCTCCTCACATACATATCTGGAACAGAATGCTATGTTAAACATGACCCAGTCTTTCCACTCTACGTTCTGAATGATGTGGCCTTGGGCCTGGGGCTTGGTGCCTGCAAACCAGTGCAACAGTCATGTTCCACTCCATTAATAGCATAATGAGGGGACCACAAGATGCCGAATACGATCACTTAGACCCTTAATGGTTAAGGCATCCTGCAAAGACAAGGTCTAAAGAGCAGTAGCTATGGTTGCAGTGCACACAGTCAATTATACTAATGCCCCATATCACCTGCTGCTACCAAGAACTTAAACAAAATCTAGGTGCAGCCTTGAAGTTAAAAACTATATGATGTGATTAATGGAGCATTCTGTTCAGATATGTAAACAAGGAGATTCTCAAAGGGAGATAGAGAACTATGGTTTTGATTTCTAGTTCTGTTTCAGTCGTCCAGTGAAAAGGTCTGGTCAGTCACTGTGTTGTTTCGTTCATAGTGATGGACAGTGTAGTTTGTGGTCAGCACTAAGTCATCTCAACAATCTCTACAGTATCAGAAACTTGAAGATAACACAAGAACCACAGGCAACAAGTTGTCATAGTTCTCATGATCTTCGCAGAGTATTTTTTAGACTCTGTAGCGCAGCCCCAATGTGCAATTACCTTTTTAAGGAGGCACATGTCAGCTACTGCATTGCCTACAGAAATTATGACGCGCTGCTCTGACAGGTTTATGTGAAGCCAATGTATTATCTGATCAATCAATCACCTGCTGAATCAGACACATTAAGATGCCCACTAACATGGTTAGGAAATTCCGATTTAAACATATTACAACACTCATTGCTTTTTTTTTCTTCTGACTTTCGAGGACAAGTTCTGAATGTCAGGTGAGGTTGTGTGCCTCACTGTAAAAACCTGTTGAAAATCCTGCTAGACCAACAATGATATACGTACTGCGATTTTTGAAGTGCACAGTGGGAGTGGGTGACTTCACAGAGAACTATCAGCAGGACCATGGGAGAGTCCAAAGCGTCAAAAACATTTATCGATTATATCGAGTGATAACAAGAAGGGTCTGTTGTTCACAAAGAGACATCACAGAGCAAGAGGCTATAATCCTCAACAGAAAAGCATAACATAAAAGTGCTTCAAAATGACTGATAAAGTTCGGTATTAGGTCAGTGGGAAGTTTTTCTCTCACAACAAAGTTCTACTTTGTATTGCATACATGTAACAGCAGCGGGAAAGAATCACAGCATTGGTCTTCCAGAGCATCACATGCTGAGGTTTGATTTTGCACACTGCTGTATGTGATATTGTGGTGACTCAGCAGGGGCTTCAATCTCACTGCCCACAAGACAATAAAAATAATCACTTCTTTGAACTGCACAATCTTAACCTTAGACTTGTATTGATCCCCACTTCACGCACTCAATAATCCCACAGTCCATCATAGCAAGGGGCTGAAAACTGTTATGTAGTCGTGGTAATGGTACGAATGGTCCAAAATCATTTGTCAAACTTCCTCTGGAAATATTTATTATGAGCCTTAAAATTCTCCAAAATCTTGAAACCATCTTTCCATAATTCAACATATTGACTACACGTAATGAGCTGTACTGCTCTGGGCTGTGAACATACACTCATGGAATGTGTCTGATACATCTGCCTTCACGATCCAAAAAACACCACAGGCTTCAACAGAGGAACCATGTTCTGTTACCTACAGTCCCAATAAACCTAATATCCATCTGCTGTATTTCCACTTATTTTATACTTTACATGTGTGTCTGAAAAAATTAGCCATTGCTGAAATACAGTATTAAATGTGCATCGTGCATATCGAACAAAACCTTAATGTTAAACGCTCCTATTTGAAAACAACCCTTGTCTGTTATTCCCTGACTAACCCAGCTAGTCAGGGAATAACAGGGAACCTGACAATATGCAACATGAGTCATCAGCCGTGGTTAAATTACAACTGCTGCAAACTAGAGGTAGGAGATCTCTAAAGTATAGTCGATGCATTGTGGCTTGTTCTGCGTAGGATGTAGTAATTGATTTTATCAGGATTATCGAGTACAAGGCCACAGGCAGGAGACTCCCTTTGACATTTGGCTGTCTCGCTCTCTCCTATGGATTTCTCTGTCTCATAGGCACAAGAAGAAACAGAGACAGCATGAAGAGAGTCAAAGACGTGTAATGTCATATATACGTGTGTGTGTGTGTGTGTGTTTACACATGTTGACTTTGGAAAGCGAATAGAAAATGGAGTCAAGTTTTTCAGAAAATGTTGAAAAAGCAGGTTATTAGTTTCACCTGACCAGCTCTACCTGAACATTTCACTAAAACTCAAGACGTTAGACGTTATAAACAGGTAAATACCACAATTTCAATCAACAATAATGTTTAACCACTTTCACCAATAACACCAAGAAGACAAATACAACTTTAACACCATTTCCTCCAAAAAATGAATGTATCCATTCATAAGTGCACTGTGCTTAAGACTCAACAACCACCACTGACCAAGCCAGCTGAATGGAGATGCAGGGATAAAGCACCATTCTCTGTCTTTGTGTCTATTGTCAGAGAAGCAGCCTCAAAGGCGGCTTGTTCTCTGTAGGTTTAATTTACATCACAGTACTGATCTCCACCTGTTCCACCTTCATATAACGTTGACACCCACTCGAATGAAGCGAAGCGCTCTCTGTTCAGTGACCAAGCAACAGTGAAGCAGCAGCAGCCACTGGCGCTTGGTCAGTATCTGTTTCAAAACATAACAGTGAAAGATTAAACCATGGTGAAACTAACAGCGTTCAATCCAGCGCACATACACACACACAAACACACACACACATCCCTGCCGCTCTCTAACAAACAGAAATCAACATGTATACATGTTCTTACCGTGTAAAGCCCAATCCTGCACAAGGCAAGGGAGAGCTGCAAGTGCTCCGACATTGTGCTCACCAACAAGCGTAACCCCCGGCAACAAACAAGCCAAGCCTCTGGAGTAAGTGAATGGGCGGAGGATGAGCAGGAGAAGCTGCACACAGCAGTGTCAGGTCAACAACACGAGTCCAGCCCTTCACCATCTCACCGTCAGTTGCCCATATCCACAAGCCATTTTGATTCAAGTGTGAGCAGCAGAGTGAGATGCTCAGCACTGAGGCTATGGTCGTGTTTACGCCCCGTTTTCATTCACCGAAAGACACAACTGTTCTCTGGGATCAGTGGACAGACACAAGCTTGAGATTAGTTTGTGAGAATCTCTCTCTCTCCACAGAGATTAAGGGCTCAGTGACAACTAGGGATACAGAATAAGACTGCAAATTGGATTAGTCACCATTACACACCCACACACTATTCCCCATACTGTACGCGAAGCATGAAGAATGAAAACCAGCGCTTTCTATGCATGGAGGAGGAGGATGAAGCGATCGACCGCTTGAGCTTACAGCGGTCGTGGGGATTTCAGTAACTGTTGTGGGACGCTTTGTCGGGAGTCGGTGTGTTCATGGGAACCTGTGAGTCATGTTCAAATAGCTTGTTTTGGTCAGCTCAGCTGTCTTGTGATAGTTGCTGCCAAAACCTGCTGATGAACTGCAGTTATAACATACAATACTAACTGTACTGCACTGTAAAACTAATTTCACTATTATTTGAATGATTATAGAGACAAACCCGTCTGACCAACAGACAGCTTCCCATCCTCTCCCTCGCTTGCACTTTCAAAGCCACTCAGAATTATCAGACTGGACATCGGACGCATGCACCGGGAAAAATCCCATCACAGCAGTAGGCTGGTAGATCATAAAAAACATTTTACTGTCCCTGTCTTGCATTACCATTATTTATATGCTGATTCAGGATGAGGATGTACTCTCACTAGGCCTGGTTGCCTTGTACTGTTCTGACTGCAGGAGAAATTTGCAGCTTTACTCCAAATCAATTTTTCAGGTTCATCAGTAAGCTGAAAAACTCACCTGTTAATATCTCAATTATTCTCCGATGAATTAAATGTCCAAATGGGGATGTTTCCGTATGACAGGGCCTTGAATTTATTTTTTTACAGAAAAATTTGAATGCTTTCAACAAGGTTGCAGGATTTGTTACTAAGGCAAATATATTCCTGTTTTGCAGTGAAGTGTCCGCTTAGTTCAAAGTTTTTCAAATGTGATATTCAGTCCAAATGCCAAGGTTATACCCCCTGCTGAACAAATTGTAGAGGAAACACTACTGGGTGCACACGGTGCCTGTGTGTGCCAGGACTGTGACCACTGACCAATGTCATTAGTTTGACATTATTTGTTTTAAACAACATGAAGCTGTGTTTGAACACACATAAAGACATAATATTGTAATATATATGAATTGTGCGAGCTCAGTGAGGAGATATAACACATTTGTCAAATGTTTTGCTGTTTAACAAGTGTTTGTCATTCTCTGTGGAAGAGTTTAAAACCACAACCTTCGCCATGAAGGAAATATCAATCTTAACACTAAAGACATAATAATATGGAATATATTGTGATAAACATCAATACTGACTGAGGTGAACATGTTCATCTTGATTTCATTTTGTAATATCACTTATAGTAGATAATTGAATTTGACTTAAGGTCAACACTGATAAGGTCACTGATAAAGCTCTACTTATGAATCTGCATTTGTTTATGGCTTTTAAGAACCCACAGCTCTTTAACAGAAATGAGAGTACAATAATACACCAACAGATCAATGTCCACTACATTTGTTTTTCTAGTGAAGAAAAGAGTTGTAGGGATCAACACAATGGGAGTAGTTATGATCTGAGAGAATGTAAAGGAAATAAAATGCAATAAAAATATGAATAACCTTCACTAATGCCTCTTTAGACGGTCAGTCCATCAACTTATGTGAACATCAATATGATCACCATAATTATCGCATCATGAACGCCCATAAATATTCCCTCATCTTCCTGAGCAACACTGATGCTGCTCCAGCCTGAGATGCTGACTCATGAGCACTCTCCACAGACACAAGGGAATCACTGCAATGAGCTAACCAGCACAGACACTAAAACCTGACGTGCAGCTGGAAGGTCAGAAGCAGGGACAGAAAGTCAAGAATGCGGTTGTGCTCAGAAAGGTATTTCACCTTACAGCTGGGGGCAATCTAAACAACGGGTTTGTTTAAGGAACTGTGGCCGATTTGGCTGAACGCTCCATTCAAAGTTAAAACATGAGAATGATTAACCTCATATTTGTAGAAATATTTTTTGTGAGATTGTGATTGTGTAGGTGCTCTTATCGTCATGCAGTTGGTCATTGCTGTTTGCTTCTGAAGAGAGTTTGGCAGTGATGTCTGTCAGCACCAGTGAATTGTGTAACATGGTCAAACGTGACAAGATTGAAAGGAACAGTAACACCAGCCTTGTATCTCATAGGCTGGATTCATATGCTGCCGAGAAAATCCCCATCAGCTCCATTTCCTGTGTTACAGCAGGAAGATTTCTATCTGTTATAGCTAATGTGCAGGAGATGTGCCCTGAAATACAGCTGGTCTGCCAAAAACTCACACAGGCTTCTACCAAGACAATTTATTCTCATAAATGTGTGACGTTCTACTAAAAGTTTCACCGGTGTGAGAGTTGCAGAATTTTCAAGGACACCTTCCCATATTCATTCATTGAAAAACAAAGTTATACTTAAATAAGAGCCTGCAAACAGAGACTAATAACTATTTTGATTAGAATACTACTGCCATGATTTCTGGGTAATGATTATTAATAGACTATGCTTTTTGATTTTCATGTTATAAAGAGTGGTAAATAATAACTGCGGAGTTTATTCAAAACTATTGCTTTACAGTAAATACATCTGACACTTTCAACAACCAGCCAGACCACTCAACGTTACAGATCTACATGTTCTGTTCATGCAACTACAGAGACAGGAAACAAGGGACAACGTAAACAGGTGGTAGACAGCAGGGGTACTCACTACAACTAAGCTAAACAGGTGTTTGGTCCTTCTTACTTGACAAAACTATAAATAGTCCTGACAGTTGTATTACTGCTTTCTTTACTATTCTTACAAAGTTCACGTGAGGTTCAACAGCCCTACAAAAAATATAATTATTAGCTCTGTAGTTATGTCCAAAGCAAGTTGGCTTTTTCTAGAGTGCAATTAAAAACTGTAGCCTAAGTGTTATATCTCAATTAAATACAATCTAACAAAGATGAATAGTAAAGTAAATGTATGTATAAGTATGATGTAGATACACAAATCCACCACTTAATGAAGAAAAAAGCAAAAATGCTTTTAATTCAATCAAAATTAAACATTCAACTGAACTGTTGAACTGAAATTAATAAACAATGATATCATTTATATAATATGATGGATTACTGTTTAAACCTGTAACCCACCATGTTACCAATCCACCAAACCCATACTGGCTGTTTAACACCAGGCAAAGCTAATGCTTTTTACATCCTCATAGATCTGTCTTCCTCAAGGGCAGAGCTGCACAAACAACCTGAAAGTCAGTCCACCTGAGGTCAGCCTCAGTCATTTGTGTGAAGCAGCAATAAATAACTCGATATCAATGGCAAAGGTTGAGTGAGATTGATGAAATAACCTTCAGGCTGTGGATTTGCATAAAGAAATAAATATTATGCAGTGAAGTGAGTAGAGCCCGAATTATATGGATTTTTGGGAGCTGGTTCTGGTCATGATACTGGGGTGAATGAAATCTCTGATCAAAGGTAAATTGGTGGATACACCTTTATATATATTTCTTGAAAGAAAAAGAAAACAAATAAAATCAAAGATCTAGAACCAGAAAGTTCTATGAGAAAATAAACATTTGAATTGGTCCGGCTCAGATCGAGGATTTGTGACAGGCAAAGAAAAAGTTTCTATCCACAACAACTGCAATGCTGAATGCTCTGGTAGGAGTTAGAGAAAGTGGAAGGAAGAATACAGCCGTAGTTTGGTTTTATCTATTTGATGTCGGTGACAACACCTTCATTGTGTCCAGTCTGGTGAAGTCTGCAAAAAGTTAGGGTCCAAGAGTTGGCCACACTTGCACTTGTAATTCGGTAAGACTGTATCATGGCAACAGCTAGCACCAAATTCCTGTGTCAGAGCTGCTGTATTGTGTGGTCTTTTCTAACATCGCACTGACGGGGCAGGAGTACAGTTCTACAGAGGGCTCAAAGCTCCCGGCTGAACCAGAATCCAACACAGGCCAGACTTCTTATGCAGTACATTCATAACACAACCCACAGTTATTACCCAGCAAATGTGCAATACTGACGTGCTTCTATTCCTGCTCATCCCAGCCACCGTTATGTGACAAATTTTTTCAAGTTCCTGTTGATTTAAAGGAAAGAGACCGGGCCGGGGGTTTCGTTGCCAGGTCTCCAGCGTGGCACAGCAGGAGAGGAGGCCCTGCGCCTATTGAGTGGCTGACCTCTCAGGACGGCCAAGCTCCAACAGTCCACAAAGTTACAGCTGTGCCTTCCACAGAAAAATGTTTGTCACAGAAAAACTGCAATCAAGTAAGCAAGGTTTTTTTTTTTTTTTTGCTCTCATTATGTGTGCAGAGCTTAAAAATGTTCATATTCCAAATCTGACTAAAACCTATGGGACGTTGTGGCTTATTTCACTTGACCACAACTGATCTCTAATGATGTAATGTGAACGCAAGTGAATAAAGGCTGTCCTGTTCTCGCAGCACATCAAGCAGAGAAAGAAGAGAGCTTAGGGTGAAACTGATTTCATTCAGTTCATGTCACGAGTGCTCTTATTGACGACAATACCCTTTGTGTATGTGTGCACCTTTCTGTTGACATGTAACCAAGTTTACAAAATAAATCACCACGAGAAGTGCCGCACTGAGAGGCCAGTAGCCACATCAGTCCGTACGGGCACAATTGCTCTTTGTTGCAGAACGGGACGTTGTAATCGTGATACTTAAGAAATGTCCCCTCAGGTCCCACATCTTGGGAGGACCATTATAAACATCTGATAACACTGGGTGGGCAAGTTCCTGTGCATTTCACACTGTCACTCTGATATGACAGCACATTGTCTTTGTCCTC